TGCTATTTTTGGTTGTAACTGGGACCTTGGGTACACAATTTCGTTCCGTCCCATGTACCACATTTGATTTGAATGACAATAAAGAACGTTGAACCTTGATGTGAATCTACAGAAAGTTGTTAACAATATTGTGTGCATTAGTTACAAAGATGCCTCTACAGCACTGACAGCTTCATCATATAATGGCACATTTCCACCTTCACTTGGAGATGAATCACAAGAGCAGGAGGAGAGAAAAGTTGGGGGTAAAGATGAACCCATCTCCAGTGTTGTGGCAGACCTGTCTTTGGAACTGAACATAAATTGTATAGGGAGGTGGGCTTGTTTTTCAGTGGTAAAAACTCACTGCTATTTCCAGAGAGTAGCTCTCTGGTGTGTTGGCAAGGAGTTATGACTAAGGCATTATTTGTTTCCTGAGGAGCAGCAGGATGCCCAATGTATGAGATGAGAAAATGAGTGTACTTTAAGCTGGTGTCTTGCCTGCTGGCACTAATATGTAATTTCAGATTTCCTTTCTGTGTATACACACACATTAAGAGAATGCTGGAATATATTGACACTTACATACCTCTGCAAAATCACATAGATATTTATTCGATTGGTACAAACAAAGGCAAAGTGGATGCATGCATGGTTCCGCTGAATTTCCAGGTATAAAATCAAGTTACATTATAAAAACATACACATAACACTGTGAGAAGGCACAGTAAAGTACACACTCGTATGATGTAAAATACACAAAAAAGAGACTCTAGAGCATATTGTCTGTCATTATTTTGTACCCTTTGTTGTATCATGTGACTCAGAGCCTTGCTCTGCAGAGATGAAAGCATCTTCATCTCATACTATCATCAGGCAAGGCTCACGCAGCACATTATACATGCTTTGATCTAAAGTGGAAGCTACCAAATGTAACGCATGTCTCCAAGAACAGATTTTAGTCTGTCTTACTACACTCAATTGTTCCTAATAATATTCTCTTAAATTATGCAGACATTAATCAGAAAGTTAATTTGTACTCTAGACACTGTTGTCAAAACAGAATTAGAATTTGAACACAATGGCAGAACAAAATGCCTCTGCTCCGCGTGTAACAGCAACATTATATCAAAATGTATTCAGTTTTGTCTTCTGATTCTGTGTAGTTTATATATTTGTTAAAATGAGGGCACTGCCAAACATACGGTAAATCCCAGAATATAGAAAAGCAATTTCTGCATGAATTGGGGGAGGGGGAGGGGGGGTCTG